AATTTTTTCATTTTTGTTCCATTTACATCCGCGTTCGTTGTTCTGCATTTCCAGCTTTTGTCATCTTCATCACCTTCTATTCGGACTTTGCAGCATGAGCAACACCTCAAATGTTATCCGCATCAGGAAATTGCGTTTTACTTGTATTCCAAAGCGCAATTACAGGACTTGGCAAAGTGCCAAGAGCGCTGCGCGCGACACGCGCCGCGCGGACGGCTGTTAGCATAAGTCTGCGCCGCAAAAGGCATTGGGCGGAGCATGGAGGAATTAGCGTGTTTCACGGTCCTGTATCTCCATTCCTGCGCATGTTAGGACGGGGAAACCGCTACGCTTCGACAGCTGGGGGCTGATAGTCACGCACACCCAAACTATGTGTGATCGTACCATGTGTCTTTAAGCTCCTTTAGCGTGATCGTTCGTGCTTGCATTAGATGCGTGGTAAGTCCGTGCGTTGAGGTATACTACTACACTTAGAATCTAGGTAATGTGGTGGCAAGCTTACTATGTGCTCAATCTGGGGTCAAATTCTGGATCGACTCTCGCCCACACCAAGCCACCCATCCACCTATCCGGGATCGGGTAGTTGCTAGTTGGAGGGATAAGTACACTGAGTTGTAAATTGGCTGGCCTAGCAACACTTAAAGGCACGCTCCGTGAAAAACCCTGGCTATAATCTTCCAGATGTGTCAGGTGATACGATAGGCGATTGTGGAGACTATGCTACAATCAAAAGGTGGTGCAAAAAATTCGGTTCAAGCTGAACTGCTAGGCTCATGAGCACTCCTTAAACACATGCCAGCCCGTTGCTACCAGCACTATATAGTAGCCCCTCTATTAGCTCTCTCTCTTCCAAATGGTGGTGATAATAGTGAGTATGATGATGATAGTGAGATGATAAGGAAAATATTGGGTCGGCTAATAAGTAACGGCGTTTTTTTGTCACTCGAAATATTGCGCTAAAGACGGAAAGTTCTGCCATCAAGTTATATACCTTTTGCAGAGAATTCCTTGCCCTACACGAGTCTTCTTAGTTTCCTTCAAGTTTCTCTTTCCACTAATATTCAAGTGCTCAAACTGGAGTGTCAGGTCGACGAAATTGAGCATTTTCGACAGCCTCTCTTTTATACCTCTAATTAAAAAGCTAAAACCGCATGGGCCCAGCTGCTAAGTATATGGCTGAAGGCTATGTCTCTTAGGAATGCTAATAATACTTTAAAGTGATTCGAAGATTTCAGTTTCGACCTCACAGACAAGCATCGAACCTAATGCCCTATTCTGTCCAACTGAGAGCTTACGGAATACAGTCCTCATCATTGCGGACCGGTGGGGCGTGTCAGCCAGTATGAGTGTGCACACTGTTGAAGCCGTTCTCAGCCTTTTTGTTGAAACGCGTATGCGACAAAAAGTGGTAGAAAACGAGTAATACGAAGGATATAATACAGTAATGTCACTTGCCCACTTCAAATAATACAGTTACTAGTTATTGCTAGTTATGTCACTTTGGCACCGCGCCCAACGCAGCCGCACTGACACGCCCCACCGATCCGCAGTGATGAGTACTGTACCTTATTAGTTGAGAATCATGCCAAAGATTGAGGGATCGTTAGAGGTCATAGAATGCTTCCTTATCATTATCAACCACCACCCTCAGTTGATGTTAGACGTTCGAAAATAAGTGGGTAGGTTCTGCAGGCAGTCCCTCCCCAAGAGGGCCCCCACGCGATGCTCTTTTACAAGGTCCGAATTCCCACCTCTTGATCGCTTGAACCAACTTCAAGCTGTCATCTTTCTCTTGGTCATATATACCACAAGGTTTGAGCTTCTTCTGTCCATTGAGAGCCTAGGAAAAAAGGTAACCCTAAAGATCGCCCATAGATAAGAGCGGTCCATAGATAAGAGCGGTTTGTGCTAGAAAATGAAAATTGACGTTTGTATACGTTTTTTTGGCGTTGTGTGCTCATGATTATCGCAATAATAGCCTACAACTCTACACTTTA